TGATGCTCTGTACACCGGTCGTGCCAATATTTCTCGGGAAAACGTATCTAAATACCGGGAAAAACTTGTGTCTTAAGTCGAGTCTTTGCTGAACAGAGTTTCGGATTGGGGGCGACTAAATCTAGTCCAGTTTAACCCTCAGCAGACACAAGTTTGCGCGTTAACCGCTAAAAAGAACCCCTTTGTCGTATCTCCTCAGTCTCAAGGCACTCCCCTTGTTGCCTCATCTAGTATTGGAATCCTCGGCGTCGACATATCGAGTGACGTGCAGTTTCACAGTCACTTGGAAGGGAAGGCCAAATTGGGTTCTAAAAAGCTTGGCGTGCTCAGCTGAGCGGGAGAGTATTTCATGCCGGCAAATCGCCTGCAACTTTACAAGGCGCAGGTTCGGCTGCACATGGAATACTGTTCCCATCTCTGGGCTGGAGCTCCCCAGTACCAGCTCCTTCCACTTGACCGCATCCAGCGCAGAGCGGCTCGAATTGTCGACGACCGAGTTCGTTCCGATTGGTTCTGTTATATCCCTTTTTACAAGGCAATAAAATATTAGTAAGCATTTATTTAATCACACGGTACTTTTCCTTAATATAGCTATAGTCAGCAATTATATTGTACCTTTCCATGTTCGTTTTAATTCCATTTTTAATGATCAGTTAGACTCAGAGCCCCGGGTAGATCGGACATAGATTCGGAGACGTATTAGAGTTGGGAAGTCAAGGACTATATTAATTTGGTGTATGAACTTTTGCAATAAACCTTTAGGTTTATTTGGTGTTTCTTTTTTTAAAAAGTCAAACGGGATCGGCCTCCTAACAAATTGGTGTTAGAAGTGGGATGCCAAACAGAAGGTCATAAAAGATTTTGGCATCCGAATCCGAGGTCCCCGCAATCACTGAGGTTGACATTAAGTCTTAGCCGTGCCTAAGCCTGTGCCTACCACAATTTTGGACGACGATCAACCTCCGCTCTAAAGCGTGAGCCCACTCCACTCATACCTGGTCCTGAAATCACCCGTCTGGCCGACGATCAGCCACCACCAGGAGCCCGCACCAGCTGGGTCTAAATCACCAACATAAGAAAAACATTTTTGAAGAATATTCTACATCTTCCATTCCTGCCATTTCCCACGACGAGACGAAGTCACCGTGTCAGCGATTCCGCCCGCCAGCCGCCACGAGTGTAACGTGTCACCGAGCTATTGTTACGAGTAAATGCAACGTATAGAAGTTATTATTTTCCTGTAAGTCGTTTTGTGTTCTAATTAAAATTTACAAAATTTAACTTTATTTTACACTGTTTTGTACTATAACCTTTTTACTTCGTTTTATTGTGATTATCTTATATAACTTCAAATTTTAATTTTATTTCTATGTCGCTTAAAGCAGAAAAAAGTAAAGACAATATGTCAGAAAAAATCTTATAATGGGGAGAAGGAATCCCTCCCCGCTTTTCTTACCAACTGTGATAATGCAATGTCGTTAGCTACGGCAAAACAACAGCCTATTTTGTGCAAATTCATTATCTCACAGCTAGAGGGAAAAGCTCAAGTCGCATGTAGTTTAAAAAATTTTTGAAACATGGGACCAAATAAAGTCATTTCTTCGTTCCACTTTTGGGGAGAAAAAACACTCAACACATTTATTATCAGATTTGAAAAACTGCAAACAGTCTTCCGACGACGTTACTAAATTTTCTTTAAAATTAGAACAAATTTTAACAAAAATTCAGTCAGATATACACTATAGCTGCAAAATTCCTGACGAACTTCCAGGTAGAATAGCCGCCATGGAGGACCTAGCATTAAACACATTTTTATTAGGGTTGAACCCTGCTATTTCTACTATTGTTAGGTGTAGAAATCCTCAAACCTTAAACGAAGCTGTTCAATTAGCTATAGATGAAGAAAAATTACAGAATCTTCAAATGTGTTCAAAAACTTCAATGAAGCAGTATAATATATGTAATAAGGTAGGTCATGTCGCTACGCAATGTTTCAAAAATAGAAACCACTATAATTTTAAACACAATAAACAAATTTCTCATTTATCTAGTTCTAACTCTGATAAATTAATTTGCAACTATTGCAAAACCATAGGGCACACTATTGATCAATGTAGAAAACGACAATATAATATGCAACATCGTCAAAATTTTAGTAAAAATATTAATCGCAACCCCAATACTAGTTCTAACTATATAAATCGTAGCTCAAATAATAATTCTAATTTTCTAAGCCGTAACCCTAACCCTAATTCTAGTTCTAACTCTGAGCCTATGCACATGACATGTGATAACGACGACGCTATCGATAATTCTAACTCTTTAAACTGAATAAGATTTCGGATACGTGTCTGCCGAATCGTACACGAAAACAATTAATAATACCATTTCTATTAAATTTTACAAAAATCATGCTAAATCTTATTCTATTTCATCTCGGCGATGCATTAGCAAGCAACCGAGTTATTCTAATTCATTTACATCTCAGCAACCCAAGGAGGTGAAGCTGAGTCTTACTAGTTCTCATGCACCTCAGTTGACCGAAGAGGTACAACCGAGTCTTACTAAGTCGTTTACTATATCTACATCTCAGCAGCCCAAAGAGGTCAAGCCGACTTTTAATGAGTCTTATTCTAATTCTATTCCTATTTTTAAAACGAGCATAAATACATGAAAGGTTTCGTTACCATACACGAATTTATATCTTATCCATACCTTTTGAGTATGGCTATTTAATGTCAAAGACCCAGGCAGTAGACTCATGCTGACTCATCATAGACCAATGCTGATGCGTTATTTCGCTGTCCCGTTAACGTTATAGATATTAACACTTTAAATAACTCTAGTTATGAAAAATATTTTAAAGATCAATTCACTAATAAAACTTCTATTTCAAATACAACAATTATAGAATGCACTCAAGGATTACATTTATCTAAGTTAAAACATATTGCGTGTCCTGCCTCTTTAGATTTCAACTCTTCTATACCTCACTGTGAAGAAATTTTATCGCAGTTAGATAAGCCGGAGGAATTGCTAAATTCCGAACGCGAACCTTTTACAGTTCAATGTGTCAGAGATAAGAATAAATACTACTTTTTTTTATATACTAAGGTTCATCATTATGAAGAAACTAAATTTAAAGATATTTACAAATTAATGATAAAACTTAGAGATAACATTTTAGTCGAAAATCCTGATATTACAGATCTCGCCTTGTCAGACTTTGACCCATTTTCTAAGTTAGCTTATATTAAAGTATATAATATGATTGCCTATATTTTCCATAACACTAATATTAAAGTTCATATTTACAAAAATCAGTTAATTTACCCTACTCCCATCGAAATCCCTAAAATTTTAAAAGAAAATCACGATTCACCTATTGCGTCATTGGTCACCCAGGATCAAATCGTATGTATAAACGAATTAAAGCCGCCTACTATTGGAAGAGTATGCGCTCTGATATTGTAGATTACGTAAAAAAATGCCAATTATGACAAATTAATAAGCCACTGAGAATGTCCAATAAAGCTCCAATGGAGATAACTTCCACTTCTACTAGACCTTTTGAACGATTAGCCCTCGACATCGTTGGTCCTTTGCCCGATGCAGGTTTCCAAAAATTCAAATTTATCCTTACATTGCAAGACAATTTAACTAAACTAATAATAATAATAATAATTATAAAAATAAATAAATAAAAAGAATATAATAAAAGAATAATAAATAAAAATAAATAAAAAGGCGTAGGGAAGTGACGACCCCATCGCCCGCTGATATAACGGTTATGTGACAAAACCGCTACGTCGGTGCAGTCAGTCAGCACCTTGCCAAGAGGTGTTAGCGCCGTGCCTTGGCAAAAATTGAAGGTGCCAAGGCCCGCTTGTGCACATGGCCTAACCATGAAACGGCGCCGGGTCTGGGCGTCTCCCGCTAAATGACGCCCTAAAATGGATGATGGAATCAAATGGAACGCGCAAAGGGCCGCTGCCTGGAGGTCGCCAGGGCGCGTCTGGAGCTGGCGCTGGACGCGACAGCATGCGAACCGCCAGCCGAGCGCGAGGTGCTGCACGACCACCCAGCAGCTCCTCGCATCCATCATCCCCACCAGCTGGCTTGGTATCGGCTGGGTCTTCGCGGGCTCAGCAATCGGCACCCGCCACTGGTGGAGTACGCCGCATGCGTTGGACAACCCAGATGAACAGCAACGCATTGCGGGCGTATTTTAGGGCGAAAGGGGGAGAAACTGGAGGTTTTGCGTATCGGGCAAGGATGCATCGACTTTTTGCTGAGCTGGAGCCATCTGTAACCGTCACCGAGCAAAACCTGGCAGACCGAGTTCGGTATATCTTGCGCTCAAATACATTTGATGTCACCGAACTCGAACGGCTACGACGTGAGGCTGTTCCTTCATCGGGTGAAAATGCTGCGGCTGAGGATGCGGTGCCACAACTTGCTGAGCAAACGGCAAATGTGGATGCCGCCGTGAATACGCCAGTTAACCACAACTCATTCAAACGATGATGGAACAGTCGCCCAGGAACTGGAACTAGAGCAAATGAGGAGTACATTGGAAGAGGCGATTGTGGAAACGCGCAGTACGACTCTCGAAAATCGACCACGACTTCCCCGCTTAGCCCTAAGCAAGCGGAATCGGGCTGTCGTGAGGGCTCTGAACCCAATGCTGGTTACCTATTTGGAAGCCAGCCGGGACCTTTGCGATACGGACTCAATTCTTTTTGGCGCCGCACTGGCAGTCTGCCAGACTAGACTGCTAAACTAGATAGGTGCCAAACTTTCCACGGCTGGACGCGCTACTGGACAAAGTAGTGCTATCCCAGCCTGGAGAATAAGAATTGAAGAACGTATCGCAAAGGCTAGGGCCCCTCATCGGCAGACTGATATGCTTCAGGTCAGGCAATACCAGGCAAAGGATTGTGCGCACCGTCAGGATGGCGTTTGCTGGGACAAATGTTAGTTTGTCCCAGCCGGATATAATGCAAAAACTGACGGAGCGCATAGACGACCTGAAGCAAAGAATAGCTGCTTGGGGAAAGCGGATTCGGCGATATACCGAGAGGTCGACACGGTTCAACCAGAATCGTCTCTTCCAGAGTGATCAGAAGAGGCTCTATAAATCATTGGAGCGACCAATAGTAAGTGGAACGGGCCCTGCACCAAATCAGGCCGACATGGTCGCATTCTGGCGCAGCCTGTGGTCAGAGCCCGTAAACCACAACGAGGGCCCTTGGATGGAAGTTGTGGCGAGTCAGTGTGCGAGTATTACGCCCATGGACCCCGTCATCATAACGCCGGATGACGTAGCTGAGGCGGTCCGTAGGGCCCCGAACTGGAAAAGTCCGGGGCTTGACGGGCTGCATCACTACTGGCTGAAGGGGTTCATGGTGTGTCACTCTGTGCTCGCCCGACAGTTTCAAGAGGCTCTCAACCAGAAGTCGCTCCCAAGCCTCTTCACTACTGGGATCACTCATTTGGTTCCTAAAGATCAGGGTGCCACAGACCCGAGCAAATACCGCCCCATCACGTGTCTACCGACCATATACAAGACACTAACATCCATTTTGAGCGCAAGAATCGCTCGTCACCTGGACTTAAATCAGGTGATGTCGCGCGCTCAAAATGGATGTCGGGGCGGCGGTCGTGGAACCAAGGAACCACTCCTCATTGACGCGGTCATTGGCAAAGTGGTGAAACGCAACCGTCGGAACTTCTCCGCCGCCTGGATAGATTACAGAAAGGCATTTGACTCGGTGCCCCATACATGGCTAAAGAGGGTCCTCGAGCTGTACAAGATTGACTGTACAGTTCGAGACTTCCTCGAGCAGTGTATGGGGCAGTGGAGTACGATCCTCTGTCATCTAGGCGAGCGGATGACGGCTGCGGAAAGCCGCATAAGGATAAGAAGGGGTATATTCCAGGGTGACTGTCTGAGTCCAATCTGGTTCTGCCTCTCTTTGAACCCTCTCAGTACTTTACTGGAGGGCTCCGGGAGGGGGATTTCAGCTTCGGAAAAGAGGTACAAAAGTGACCCACCTTTTCTATATGGATGACCTCAAATTATTCGCCTCCAGTCGCTCCCATCTTATGGAATTGCTAAACATCACGTGTGAATTTAGCAATTCTATTAGAATGGAGCTGGGGACGAATAAGTGTGCGGTCCTCCATGTTGAAAGGGAAGGGTTGCTATCTCTGAGGGCATAGACTTATCTATGCCCGTCAACTTAAGAACCCTTTCCGAGGCTGAAACATACCGATACCTGGGTATGTCACAGAACATCGGTATCGATGAAGCTGGTATGAAACAGTCAGTTTGCGACGTGTTTTATGCACGCTTGACCAAAGTCCTTAACAGCCTTTTGTCAGGTGTGAATAAGGCACACGCATATAACGGTTGGGTCATGCCTGTCCTCATGTATACCTTTGGCATACTCAGGTGGACTCAGACTGAACTTAACGCCCTGGATAGAAAAGTCCGCACTACCATGACGTCCCATAGGATGCATCATCCGAGATCGTCGGTAATGAGGCTGTACTTGCCGCGGAAGCATGGTGGTCGTGGCTTCTTGAGCGCGCTCACCATGCATAATCGCGAAGTGTGCAGCCTCCGTGATTACTTCCTTGCGAGATCGATTGATCCATTCTATAAGGACGTCATTTCTTGTGATAAAGGACTTACCCCTCTATCCTTAGCCAACGAGCAATGGCAAGACCCGGCAGTGCAGAGCATTTCCGACCGGGAGACCGTATGGAAGGAGAAGGAGCTCCACGGGAGGTTCTACAAGGCTCTACATGAGCCTTTCGTAGACACAGTAGCCTCCCTCCACTGGCTACGCTTTGGTGATCTCTTCGGGGAAACCGAGGGTTTTGTCTGTGCAATACAGGATCAGGTTATTAAGACCAACAACTATCGGAGATACATCCTAAAGGATGGCACCGTCGACATCTTTCGAGCTTGTCGCCATCCCGGTGAGTCACTTAGGCATGTTATCTCCGGTTGTTCGGCGCTTTCTAACTCTGAGTACTTGCACAGGCACAACCTAGTAGCCAGAATTCTACACCAGGAGCTCGCTCTGAAATACGGTCTCGTGGATCGGAAATTGCCGTATTACAAGTATGTACTTGCCGGAAGCCGTGCTCGAAAATGATAATCGAAAATAAAAGCCATTTTTCTACCTTCTTTTTAAATTTGTAGAAGTGGAATTGGATAAAAGTCAAGCAATTTTGTTTATTTTGTTATACAAATGTACACTAAGATAACCATGGTTGGCGCCTGGCAAAGGACGTGCGGAAAGCGGTTGGAGTCAAGACATTAACTATTGTACGTTTTCTTTCTATTTTGTCTTTGTCGTATGCAGTAGCAAGATTTTGTCTGCTTATAAGTTGTAAAATGTATAACTGCCGAACCGTAAGAACTTGACAATCACTATAGAGTGTTCTAGTTGGGAATCTAAACGTCTTAAAAGTCATCGTTTTAAGCAACGACCTTTGGGCTCTTTCAAGTCGCAAAATGTGGGTTTTGCATGCGCCACCCCAAACTCTAATACAATAGTTTATTACTGACTGAGCAAGCGCGTAATATACTACGCGAAGTGTATCAAAATCAGCCACATACCTTAGATGTTTAAACGCCCAAATTAGTTTTCTTACTCTAGAGGTTTGTAGATCTATATGACTAAGCCAGTTTATTTTACAATCTAAAATAACGCCTAGGTATTTGACAGTATCAGATTTATGGAGCATATGGCATGAACATTTATCAGTAATTTACAGCAATGTAGCTTGATAGATATATTTTCAGTGTGGTTTTCCTTGTTATTAAACTGGATAAAAGTTGTTTTTGACAGGTTTAGAGTAAGTAAATTCAATCTTAGCCAGCAGTATACCTTGTGTATTCCAACTTCAGCATTTTTACAAGCCTTATCGCAAGTCTCTCCATAAAATACCAGCGCCGTATCATCAGCGTACGTAAATATTTGTTCATTATATAGTGGCTGTTGGCAAAGATCATTAATGTAAACCAAGAAGAGACTAGGGCCAAGTATGCTTCCTTGTGGAACACCATATGTAACCGCGTCATAAGAACTTACTATTCGATCGATCTTAACACACTGCATACGATCACAAAGACAGTCCTTAAAGATGGAATGCACTACACCACGAATTCCAGCTCTCTCTAGCTTGTCAAGGAGAGAGGGAATCGAAACAGTGTCAAATGCCTTGGCTAGATCTAGAAAAATACCAATACATTTTTGCCTATTATCAAGCTTAGTGGTAACGTAATCAACCAAGTCACTAACAGCATTTTCTGTACTTTTTCCCGACCTGAAACCATATTGATGTCGTGACAGAAAATTATTCTTTTCTAAAAAATTCATCAACCGAGTATTTAAAACTTTTTCCAAAATTTTTGAGAGAGCAGGCAGTACAGATATAGGCCGGTAATTATTTATATTATCTTTTGAGCCACTTTTTTGTACTGGAGTTATAATGGATTTTTTAAAAACTTTTCGAAATATACCCTGATCTAGACAGATATTAAATAATTTAGTTAAAGGCGGAACAAGAATATTTCTAGCAAGCTTTAAAAGTTTGCTAGAGATAGAGTCCCAGCCTACAGCGCAGTCATTTTTAAGGTTGATAATAATAGACTCTATTTCCGCTTCGTCGGGTGGAATGAGAACGCAAGAATTGACAACACAAGGTAAATTGAAGTTGTACCGATAGTTTTCGGTTTTGTCTTGACTTATTTTGTTTGCCAAATTTTTACCAACGTTTGAGAAAAAATCATTTATACTCTCAATTGTACAAGACTTATTATCTATATTATTCAGCAACTCTTTTGCTGGTGCATTAATAGTATTTTGATTTGTAATAATTTTAATAGCTTTCCATTTTTGTTTATTATCTTTTGCCTTTTTAAGAAGAGATCTTTCATATTCAAATTTAAGCCTTCTTAGGAGAGGAGGAAAGAATTACAAAAAGTTCTATATCGCTTATACGAAACTACCAAAATGTTATTATCGGGGTCCTTTTTTAGGTTTTTATGCAATTTATCTCTATGGCGAATGCACCGTAGAACTCCGGGTGTAACCCATGGCTTAAGAATTCTTTGCCGCCTAGTAATCACTTTTTCTTGAGTACAAAATTTTATTATCGAATATATTTTTTCAACTAATTATGAGGCAGCGTTATCTGCATTGCAGTTGGTGTTTATAAAAGAAAAGTCAATTGTAGACAGATTTTTAATAACTTCATTGTGATCAATTTTTGTATTATAGCTTACTTTATGAGTATAGTCGTTATTAAAAGAAAGGTTTAGAAGCACAGAACTATGATCAGTAACAGTTGAATTCAGAACAACTACTGTGGCAGGCAAATAGGTTTTAATCATGACATGGTCCAAACAATTATTGACTCTCGTTGGATAAGTATGTCCTGGTAGAAGACCTAGTTCTGCCATAAGATTTAAATAAGATGAGCTATTTTTATCGGCATTGTTAGATTTAATGTCAATGTTGACATCACCTAAAAGATATATATTTTTTGCCTTAATGGGTTGAAGAACGTGTTCAACTGTGTTTACAAAGCTGTCAATACCATAAAACGATGACGATCTGTATGTGGCTAATATTGCAATATTTGTTTCCGTCTTTAGCAAAAGGAAGTTACCACCAATCGAATCTGGCTCCTCCACAATACAATCTATTCCAGATTTTACATAAATAATTATACCGTCATTTTAGTTTAAGGTTTTTTTTAGAAAAAATAACACGTGTAGTTATCAATAAGTGGAGGAGGTTTGTGACTACTTAACCAGCATTCCGTTAGAATTAGAATATCACATTCAAAAGTAAATCTTTCCAATTGTGCCATTAACCCATCTATGTTTTTATAAACGCTTCGTATATTCTGAGTTAAAACATTTATAGATTTAGAAAAACTGACATTCTGAATAATATTATTACAGTGTTCTGTGCTACAGTTGTATGATTTTGCCACAGAGATATTATCAATATCGATTGACCCATATAGGCCTACCGTACCCTATGTGGTACAGTTACTTTGTAAAAATATTTTGATGTACCCACAAATTATTAACTTTTTTGGTTAGTTGTGGCAGATAACTCAGAGTATTAGTTTTATATCAACAATATAACATACACATTTTATGCGAGTTATTATCAGTTTATATTAAAATTGCTAGACAGAAACGGAAAAAAACAATTTACAATGTCTTCAAGAAGGTAAGTTTCATGTTATCTATAGTAAATCATATTATTTGTTGGTATTATTTTAAATACTAGGCTACAATAGACGTAATAGCTACAAATAAGTTTCACTTGGGTCATTTTAGTAAGGTGTACACAGTGCTAGATTAGGTGTATCATATATGGTACAGTAGGTCTATGTATGAGCACAAAATACCTAAGTCAATTTACATATTATTATATTAGCTTTTTATTTATCTTTTTGTGTTTTATTGTTTTAGGTCATTGACATTACATGAAATTGCTACAGTTCTTGAGGAAGATGATGATTTTAGCAACCAGAGACAAGATTTTGATATTTTTTTACTTCCACCTGACACCGCCAATGATTACCAAACTGACGAGGACTCGGGTGAAGAAGATAACGTCAGCATAAATAATTTGCCTGGAAGTTTGCTTCGAGCTCCAGCGGAGCTTGCTGCCTCAACCTCAATGGAAAAACCAGAAACTGAGGACCAAACCCCTCCCGAATTTCAAGAACCTTTAAAAAAACGTGTCATGAATTACAATTGGCGAAAACGAGACTTGCAGCTAAGACCTATTGTTTGGAAACCCCTTTATCATACTCCTATTGAAAGAAGCCCGATAGAATGGTTTTCTTTATTATTTTCAGAAGAAGTATTTGAGATGCTTACTATTGAAACCAATAGATACTTAGCACGTAAGCTTCTCTCTGCTGACGTCAAGATTGAAGAGATGAAATGTTTGGTAGGGATTTTGTTAGTCAGTGGCTACTGCCAAGTGAGCAGAAGAAGAATGTACTGGGAAAATGCATCTGACTCAAGAAATAGTTTGATTGCTTCAGCCTTGTCTCGAGATAGATTTACACTAATTTACTCTAATATTCATGTTGCTGATAATCTAAATTTAGATACATCCGATAAATTTGCAAAAGTTCGTCCTTTATTAAAAGTTTTAACTATGAGGTTTCTTGAGCACTGTCCACATAAGGAGAATCATAGTGTTGATGAGGCTATGGTCCCATATTTTGGTCATCACGGCTGCAAACAGTTTATTAGAGGCAAGCCTATAAGATATGGATACAAATTATGGGTTGGTGCAACATCAGGAGGTTACATTGCATGGTTTGAACCATACCAAGGTGCTTCTACATTTACGAATGCCCAATATTCCCAGCTTGGTCTTGGTGCAAGTGTGGTTTTGTCTTATGCAGATCAACTAGCAACATTAGGCTATGGAAAAAACTACCATCTCTTCATAGATAACTTTTTTACCGGTTTGCCTTTGGTTCATGAACTTACTGAGAGGGGATTTCGTGTAACTGGTACTATCAGAGAAAATAGATCTGGAAAGTGCCCTCTATTAAGTAACAAAGAAGCAAAGACAAAAGAAAGAGGCTTTTATGATTATCGCATATCTGATGATATTATAATTTGCAAGTGGCATGACAATAGTATAGTGTCAGTATGCTCTAATGCAGTTGATGTTGATCCTGTCCACAAAACTGAACGCTATTCTCAGCAACTAAAAAAAGAAAATATCTGTTTCTCAACCTCATCTCATTCAACAATACAATAAAAATATGGGTGGAGTAGATTTATCAGATCAGAATATATCGTCATTGCGAACTAGCATTCGAGGAAAAAAGTGGTATATGCCTCTGATTCTCCATTGTATAGACATGTCTGTACAAAATGCATGGCTGCTGTACAGACATAATGGAGGGAATATCGACTTGCTAAACTTTCGACGTCGTATTGCAAACTATATTATCGATTGTAATAAACAACGCGAAAGGCCAGGTCCTAGTCGACCATCTTCAATAACATCAGACTCTCGATACGACGGCAAAGAACACTATGTCAGCAAGCAGGAAAAGAGGACCAGGTGTGGCCTATGCCACAAACAATGTCCTACAAGATGTGTCAAGTGCAATATCGGTGTCCACGTAGAGTGCTTTATTATGTATCACACCAAAAAGTAAATAAAATCTAATTAGTAAAATCATGTCTTTTTTTTGCATACATATAGTCCTACTGTACCATATGTGGTACGTCCCTTCAGTCGCCCCCCCTCTTATTAATTTTTTTTTAAATATTTTTCCCCCGGTTTTTAGGCTTTCTTGGATCAGGTTTTGTTAATGAAACATGAATTTTTCACAAAAATAATTATCGGTCTAAATGGGTTAAATTTTCTACGTTGATAGCCGTCCTTTTTATATAAGTTATTTGGTTTTACTTAATAAAAAATATTTCTGCAACAGTTGTTGCATCCTAATCTGGCTCTGAACAAAGAGAATAATGTAATTAATATGGACTCCGATAAATTCTATTACTTTTTTATAATTTAGAAGGCATAGAAGGCATGATAAATTGTACCTATTATATGAATTAAAATTATTAACAAAATATATGTTTAGAGGTGAGATTGAGGATTTTTTGTTAAAAAAATAATTTTTGTAGTGTAAAAATATGTATGAAGTGTTATAGTGTATTTGTGTAATGTAAACCGCTAGTACTATGATAAAGTAACATAAAGGAAATATTAAATAACAGTAAAATTTTAAATAAATAATAAAAATAAATGATAATTCTTGTCATTGAGTCTTCCTTAAATTTTCGAGATCGGCTTCACTGTTAATTCGTATCTGGCTGGATTTTTCATCTTTGCGTAGGTAAACAGTTCCGTTCAGAGGCCAGCAGTACATAAAACTGTGTGCCTTTTTGAATGCTCTTGCGAGTTGAAATAATTTTTGAGTCTTTTGAGTTAAAGTTTCTGATATAAACACTGGTTTCTTTGGTTGTTGCAGTTATAGGTGAGAAGTATTTAATTTCTCGTCTCTTGGTTTGTTTTTATTAACTGTACTGTACTGTAACTTGTTTTTAAACTGGTCACAGCTACCAGTGAAGAAATAGCCAGAAATCTCGTACATTTTATGTCTCTTTTCCGTTTTCCTAAAACAATCCTAACAGATTTGGGTACGTGTTACAAGTCCGATTTATTTAAACAACTGACTCAAATCTTAAAAGTTAAAGCCTTATTTACTACTCCTTATCACTCAAAAACAAATGGAGCTCTAGAACGCTCACATGCTACTTTAAAAGAATACCTAAAATCCTTCGTAAATGAAAACCAAAACGATTGGCATTGTTATCTATTTACCGCAATACTAGCTTACAATACCACTCCACATTGCACCACTAATTTCACCCCTCATGAATTATTATATGGTTATAAACCTAATTCCCAATTCTGTATATGAAACAAATAATAATACAACCTATAATGAATATATTCGAGCTTTACAATATCGAATGCGTTTTAGTAGAGAAAAGACCATTCAAAATATAATTAATAGCAAAGAAAAATCGAAACAATATTATGATGCTAGTTCACGCGAAATTTCTTATAAAATTTTTGACTTAGTATATACAAAACATCGTCACCGGTTCCGTAAAGCTCTATCACCTATATGGAAGGGCCCATATAAAATAATAAAAATAAATAATAAGCATAACGTAACGTTACAAATAGGTCGTAAACATGTTAAGTACCATACAAACGAAATTAAGCCTGCTATTCAAACTCCTTAAATTTAATTTACTTTGTATATTTTTTCAGAGCTTTATGCTATGGAAACCAAAGCCACGCTGAATCGAGGATCATACCTATATCACATAGTCCTGGAATTTATTTTGAACCTATTACGCATATTAATTTTTATAACGGTTATTGGAAAGTTATAACACATATAAACCTTATATCCTTATCTCAATAAAATAGAAAAATTATTATATGATACTTTAAACCTTTGTTCCAAAATAAATACTGACGAATTTTCCCCGTGTAAAGATTTTTCTACTCCTATAGAGACTTTAATAAATTATAATTATTTCAAATTGCAATCTCTAGCACATTTAATCAATAATAACTCATCGCCAAACAAAGTCAAAAGATCTCTATAATTTGGAGGCGAAATTCTTAAATTTTTCTTTGGTACTCTAGACGCAGACGATGCGCGAAAATATGATGCCGCGATAGAATCCTGTCGGAAAAGTGAAACGGAATTATTTAATTTATTCAGAGATAATATTCATATAATTAAATCCACTATAAATAATTTTAATGCCACTATTTATAAATTAAATCAAAACGAATTAAAATTGAATTCCCAAATTAATAAAATGAATGAAATTTTGTCGCAAATTACAAAAACCGATAACTTGCTCCTTCACATTTCTAGGATAAATAATTTACTAAACGTAATTGAAGGCTGCTATTTCTAACTTGCTAGACACAACTATAAATGCTATTTTATTTTCCAAGGTAAATGTTTTGCATCCTGGCGTGATTAGCCCTTTAAGTAAGTAAGTAGTAAGTCTTTATAATGAATTAACCAAGTATATTAATCAAATAAATAGAATTAAGAGAATAAATAGAACATACATAATATTCATTCTTTGTTTGACGTTTCGAAACTTAGTTCATATTATTATAACAATAAGATTGTTTTCAGTTTGCAAATTCCACTGATAACCCCTGATAAATTCACTGTTTATAAAAATATCCCATTACCGACGAGTCACATAATATGCAAACTTTTGCACTTATTCAACCTTCTAATTCTTATATTGCTTTAAGTGACGATAGAATACATTATACTATGTTTAATAACTTAGATGATTGTAATTTTATTAATAATAGCTATTCTATTTGTGAACTATTAACTATAACATCTAGTGTAAATAATCCAAATTGTTAATCGAAATTACTAACAGAAGTAACTCTTACCTTACCTTCTGAGTGTAACGCCAAGTTATTATTGGGCCAAATCAATATTTGACATAAATTAAAAAATAATAGATGCATTTATGTACAATCTAATGTAAATAAATTAACTATCAAATGTGATGACGATGTTACTGATCATTCTATTATTGGCACAGGTATTGTCAAATTAACCTAAAATTGTATCGGTTATTCCAAAACTATTCAATTATTGCCAACAAGTACTTACCAATTTTCGATCAAATCAACCATAGATATAAGTTTTGATATAACGAAAGATGATTGTTGCCAAAAGGACATATTTAATAAAAGCTTACCACATTTAACGCCAATCTCTTTAAGCAAAGTTATCTTGGATTCTTTAAAATATGCAAATCACCAACTGGATAGTTTAGAATTTGAATTAAATAATCTTCAAAAAGAATCACATTTTATTAAATACTATTCAACATTTACTTATGTTTTAATTGTACTACTATTTTTATACCTTGCCTATAAATTATTTAAATGCTGCAGAAGTCGTCACGATAACAGTGGATATTGAATACAAATATTTAATCAATGTAATAATAAAAAGTCATCGAAACATAATTCTAAAATTACAAATTCAATTGAGATGACCGATAAATCGACAACTGAAGAAGATAATATCTCACTGAAATCTTTACCAAATTGTACTAATTATAAGCCTTATAAAACTGTACACAAGGTTCACTCTTCCTCTCGAAGAAATCTTAATTTCTAATTTTATTCAATTTTAGTTTTAAAATTTTTGTATTAACACAAATAATCGATTTTATTATCATATAATTTTAATTTCTACTCTGTCATTTTATATTTTATAATTGCTATATTTTTTCTATTTTCAATGCAATCTATGTAATTGTAATTGAAATTACTAAGTTGTTTAATACAAGTTAATTTCTAATTTTACTATTTCGTTCAAAATACTTTTAATTTTAGATTTTACTAATTCATTTTTGTATAATTTTATTACTAAGTTTTAAATTGATTATTTCTTGAATTTTACTTTGTCTCTTTTGTATAACTTAGTTAGTTAACGAATAATACTATTGTATATTTATGTAGAATTTAATAATTCGAAAGGTTTATATTGTTATGAGATTGATTTGCAATATTTTATTACAATTTTTAATTTCCTATTTTCATAAATTGTAATGCCTTCCGACCTCTAATCGCTTTTCTATTTCGAATCTTCGCTTTATCTTAATTTAGAAAAAGCTCAGTCAAAAGGGGGGAGCTGTTATAACCCTTTTTACAAGGCAATAAAATATTAGTAAGCATTTATTTAATCACACGGTACTTTTCCTTAATATAGCTATAGTCAGCAATTATATTGTTATAATGTTCCTTTCCATGTTCGTTTTAATTCCATTTTTAATGATCAGTTAGACTCAGAGCCCCGGGTAGATCGGACATAGATTCGGAGACGTATTAGAGTTCGGAAGTCAAGGACTATTAAATTTGGTGTGTGAACTTGTGCAATAAACCTTTAGGTTTATTTGGTGTTTCTTTTTTTTAAAAAGTCAAACGGGATCGGCCTCCTAACAGTTCGATTCACCGGCGTTGCGAAGAGATGTAGCATCTCTTTGCGTATTTTATCGCATCTATCACGGGAAGTGTCCTCACTTCCCGTTTTGTTTGTTTTTTGTTCGGATTAATCCCAGCCGCCAAATTTCGTGAACGCACTACGCGGCAAACGTCCCGATACCATTCACATCATCTGGATGCTTTGCGGTCCACCACTGTTTCACACGTTTCACAAGGAG